GCGGCGGCGGAGGAGGAAGCGGCCCCGGGAGCAGGAGGGGGCGTCTTCCCGGGGCGGCGGGGAGGTGCTCCCGGGGGCGGCGCGCCGCTCAGCCCCTGGCTGCAGCCCTGGGCGCTGCTCCTCAGTCTCCTGAGTGCCTGCTTCTGGATGGGCTTGTGCCTCCTGCGCGCCGGGGTGCGCCTGCCTCTGGCCGTCGCGCTGCTGGCCGCCTGCTGCGGAGGGGAGGCGCTCGCGCAGGTCGGGCTGGGCGTCGGGGAGGACCACTTGCTGTCGCTCCCCGCCGCGGGGGTGGTGCTCAGCTGCCTGGCCGCGGCGACATGGCTGGTGCTGAGGCTGAGGCTGAGGCTGGGCGTCCTCATGATCGCCGTGACTAGCGCGCTCAGGACCGTGTCCCTCATTTCCTTGGAGAGGTTCAGGGCCGCCTGGAGACCTTACCTGGCGTACTTGGCCGGAGTGCTGGGGATCCTCCTGGCCAGGTACGTGGAGCGAATCTTGCCGCAGTCGGCGGGGGCTGCCGCGAGGGAGCCTTTTGGGTCCCAGCTGATCGCTGGGACCAAAGAAGAGATCCCGGTGTTAAAGAGGAGGCGGCGGTCCAGCTCCGTGGTGTCCGCCGAGATGTCGGGCTGCAGCAGCAAGTCCCATCGCCGGACCTCCCTGCCGTGCATACCGAGGGAACAGGTAAGCCCGGGGTCCCCGCTCCCGCCTCGCCTCTCCCGAGAACTTAGACGGTAGGGCGGGCGCCAAGTGCGGGGGATCCGAGCGCTGGGAACCAAACACCGCCTGGGAAAGTGGTGGAACTTCAGGCAGCCGAGCGGGAGCGAGCGTTCCTCTCCTGCTCAGACTGTCTTACAACCTGAACAGGATCACGGAGAAGTAACAGAACTAGTTGGCTTCTGCTGGGTCCTCCACAGCTGGGCCAGCTTTTTAGTTCAGCTGCACCTGGTGTGTGGCTTCCCTACGCTTTTAAGGACCCTCATACTTTCCTGCTTGAGCAGGAATTTTGGAATTAAGTTTAGCATTGCAGCCGTGGGTGATTTCTTAAACACGTGTATTCTTAACACGTGTATTCTTCCCTTTTATTTCCTTTCATGAAATTTTTAACGCTAAAGTGACAGGTAAGCATGTATGGAAGTCGGCAGAAAGCTTCTAAAGTAAATCAAGGAGTGTTTGAAGGTGAGGTGTTGGTGCACACGCTTTCTGGTTTTGCAGTAAGTTTTACTTGAAGAGACTGCATCTGGTGGTGGCCCAGTTTGTTTTTAAATGTAATTTGGGGACATATGTTATTACACGTGAATGTGCTTTGTATCCTAATTGTAAACTTCAACTTGTGGAACAATAAATATGTCTGAACTTTAGAATTTATCCAAACGGTGAACTGTGCTGTTAGTGTCAACTAAAAAAAAACACACATTTCTCTCCAGTACCTACATACTTAATTGGATACTTAGAAATTCAAATAGGTTTATACAGGTTATATAGGAGACACTAATTCAGGAGGACATTTCTAAGATTGCTGGTGATACAAATCTTTCAGAAAGGAGGAGGGGGGAGGGACCTAGAATTATAAGTGAAGTTGTCCTAGATAAATTTCAGTGAGTTTGGGAGATGAATCTCCTTATTACCATTAAGGTTTTTGAAACCATGGTATGTAGTTGCTACAATGGGCATAAAAAACACACACAAATCCAATTTTAAATTCAAATTGTATGTGAAAAGAAGTACTTATGTGTTTACTTCTCTACTCCAAGCAGACTTGACACTTGGGGCGCCGGTGGTGGAAGCTGGTTATGAACAGCAAGTGGAAATTTACACTTTTCCCATTTACATTTGTGCCTACTTACGGTACTGTTAGGACAACTTTAGGGAGGGAGAGGATATCCTAAGAGACAGTAAGCTCTGTCTTTCTAGGTTATTCTGTGGATAATCATTTAGGTATTTCTTAGAAATAGCAGTCACCATATGGTGTGGGTGGCTAGTTTGTTTCTGAACTGGAGCTGATTACACAGAATGTGATTGTTTGACATTATTTAGCGGAATGGATGCCAGCATCATAGCCTCTGTGTTTATTTTAAAACAAATGTACTTATTTAGCTTTTTGTTTAGATAAAGCAAATATTTTGTGGGCTTAAGCATAAGAGTGAAGTCTTAAAAGTGAAGCTTTGAGAGTCAAGTTAAAAACAGGGCACTGACTGATACTTAGTTTTGGTAGAAATTTTGAAATCACCGGAATAAAGTAAGCTACATTTAAGATAACTTAATTTAAACCAGTTAAGGGGAAAACACACTTTCCCCTGTTACAGGAGAGAATGCTCTTTAAATGAAACCACTACTAGTTTAAATATGTTTAGAACACTCTTTTCTTTAACTTGTAGGGAAATATGATATGATCGTTGCAAAATTGAACCATAATTTCTAAGGCAAATCTGTGATTTAATCATAAATAACTTGACTACAAATTGATACCATTTAGTCTCTAAAATTAAATTTCTAAGTTCCACATTAACTTTTAGAACTTAAGGAGTTAAGAGTGGATTTAAGATAAGAAGGTGTTTAGATGAATTAACAAGCGGTGTTAATTAGCCCACAGCTTTTTATTGTTTTTCTCTGGTTTGAGTTGATAAATGGAAAATTTAAATAATCTGCAAAGTTATAAGAAAATAACTGAGCATTGCATTTTTAAATGTTTTGCTGATTAAGGCTGTTGAAGATGCATATTCGTAATCTAGTTTGGTCATTTTCTTTGGTTACTATGCTTTTAAATGTTGTGTTTATGAAGAATATTCTAAAGCGAGAGACTTTATTTCTTATGGTTGATGGAAAACAAGGTTACAGTTAGCAGAAATTTAGATCCTTGACATTTTAATGAGGGCATGGGTGAATGTGTCCGTGTTCCTGAACACTAGTTTATATATGTGACCCATTAAAGTTGTTGCTGAGTGTGATTGTTGGGGTGGGTGGCAACTGACCTGGAACAAACAGTATCTTAGAGAGAGGGCAATATCTCATACATTAGCATAACTGTGAAAAGTTCAGGAGCAATATATTCAGTGGCTTATCTGTTTTATCACAAGGAAACAAACTTCTGGTTAAGGGTGCAAAGTGTACTACTGACATCTGCATACTTTTTCAGGAATCAAAATAATTATCAAACCCATGTATAACATCCCCCTGAATGCTACCTGATGAGGAGTTCTTTTCTGAAAGAATGTGTACTCTCAACTCAAGACAATACTCAGGCAACAAGTGAATTTTAAATACAGGTATAAAGACAAAGCACAGAGGCCTCTTGAGAATTTATTTGGACTTTGCTCATTGTGAGGTTTAAAGGTGAGAGAATTCCAGCCTTTTCTTTGCCATGTGAATGATAGCAGCCACTTGCTTATGAACTCTCTCTCTTCAATGACTGAATTCTAAAAGGTCAAGGAGAATGGATGATAAAATTCTCTTAAGACAGACAGACAGATGTATTTCCTTCCCTCCCTCCCGTCCTTCCTTTTTTCTCCCTGAACCAGAATTGTCTATAGATTGAATATTGTGCATGGAATTAACTTTTACAGCACTGATGATAAAGATGACTTCAAGCAAAGAAAGGAGACATAGGTCTAGTGTCAGTCACTGAATTAACCCAACATTGGGATTGTCTGAATGCAAGTAAAGGTATCTTTACCCTCAGTAAAGAACAAAGTTTGTAATATTTGCATGGCTTTTAGTTCAGTCCTATCAGCCCAGAATCCTCAGGACTGAGGAGGATTTTGTGGATCAGTGTGTCCAACAGTACTTTTTTGTTTGGCAGCATTAAGATGGCAGATGTTTCCCTTAAGGTGCGTGCATCTTTTCTAAGTGGATGTTCACATCCAAGAGCCGGCATGGCTCTTTCAAGTTATCACTGTATCTTCCAAACACTGGAATATAGAGGTACCTACAATGTCTTGTATAATTAGATATTATATGATTAACAAATATGACATTTTTCAACATAAAATTTTAATTATGCAATTTTTGCCATTTGAAAATTGTATTTAAAAGGGTATCTCTCTAGTCTCTTTATACGTCAAAGAACACAATTGGCCACTCAGTCCTCTAATTACTGTGACCACCTTACATATTCATATTTGAAAGATTCTAAACCAGTGCCATTTTATTCTGTCACATGTTAAGAAGAATATAATATTTTTGCCTGTGGTTTCACATAAAACAAACACAAAGCATATGCCTCTCTTCATTAATGCATTTGTACCATTAAATTACAAATTTCTTTGTAATAGATACAATATCAGTCAGAAATTTGCAGCTATATACTATATATTATATAATTAAAAAAATCAAAATTATTTCCCCTGACTATTTCCCCAAAGCTCTCAATTATACATATTTGGAAAAAAGGATTGTTGTAGGAATGTAATGGCGTCTGGTGGTTGGTTATGAAAGGTCGAATCAAGTTTTTCATTACTGACATAAGAAAGATATTTTCAAGCAAGAAAATAACAAAAACAATAAAACAAAAATAGGAGAAAATAGGTATGGTTTTTGATGGTAGGCATATGGTAGGCCTTGTTACGTCTTCAGTAAAAAGTATAACTTCCTTGTATAGTTATGAAGTAGAGGTATTTCTTCTGAAAATATAGAATATATTGTCTTTTAAATTCTGAAATACATTTTAGTGTAATATAGCACATATCCCAAAATGAATAAATTTCAGAAACAATCATGGGTCTTTAATTAAATTGTAGCTCTGTCACATTTCGGTAGTATAGCTCAGTTGATACAAAGAACAATATTGATTATTTATGACCTGCTGACAGAATTAAAATTAATTAATGTCAACTTCTGAAAATATTAAAAAGGAAAAACAAGATTTTCTTATCCCTTGGGAAAGGTGAGGGAAAAGAATTTTTGTGCCTGTGTGGGGACAAAATTGTGATTTTGCTTTGTGAATACAGATATTTAAAGCATACTGAAAAACTGTTTTAACTGACAGAAATAGTTAGTGAATCTATATAAATTTACAGAGGTTGGAAGCAGTCAAACAGTAATTTTACTCTTTCTGTATTGAGTCTAAAGTGTAAAAAGTTAAAACTGTAGAACTGAAAGAAATGCTGTGTATGCTGGGCTGTCATGTTAATTAAATAAACAACCGGAACAGTGACTCTGTGTATGAAATACATTTTGAAAAGCCTGGGGGAGGGGGTGCAGGCAGGCCAGGCAGAGTGACACTGGCATGAAAAAACATTCATTATATCTGTAGTGACATTTGTGTGAATTTGTTGTGTTCTATTAGGGATACAGCTCCGAGAATGACCTCTTCAGGATTCTAGTTGAATAAAGGCTTTACTGCATTTAAGTTCACTTCAGTGTTAAATAAGTTTTTATTTCTTATGTTGAAGTAAAATGTTTATGAGCCTCAAAGTTGGACATATACCTATATATTGTATTTTAAGATTTTCAGTTAATATGGTCTGTGCCAGTAACAGCCCAGTGAAGTCTATGCAGACTTCATTGAAGACTTGTGTTGTTTAATGCACCGAAAAAATGAGTTTATCTTGAGTTTATGGTAGGAGTTGTATTTTTCAGAAAACCTTATTGTTGTGAGACATAATCTCAGGGATGAAGGCGACCAGTGCAACTGTTGCAAGGTGGTGTGTGAAGAGACTTGGGCGCTCTGAAGCAGTGCCTCTGCG